AGAAGAGATCTGTTGGGACCACATGCAGACCTTTTCTGGGCAGCAATGGACTAAGAAATTGCCAGCCTTGAGGGCAAAGTGGACTTGGCAATCGTACACGTTCTTCAATGCCTTCACACCTAAGGCATGTTCCAGGAACATGGGTACACGAATCAGAGGTTACCAAATGGCCAATTGAACAAGTTCAAATCTAGATGTGTGCAGAGGAGACCTCAGTCCTATGAGCGCATATTCTCACCACTGTTGGTGGCCCACGTTAGAGCCGTTTTCCTTCTTGCAGCTGCACATGGATGGGAATCGAGACAAGTTGATTTTACTCTTGCTTTCTGTCAAGCTCAGCCTGTCGAAGCCATTGTACATGAATGCCTCAGTACTATGACCCAAAGATTAGAAGGACAGGACGTTGTTTTGAAACTTGACAAGTCCATTCTATGGCAGACGGATTCACCCAAATTATTTATGAGCATCTATGTCGGGGATGTCAACTTGGTTTCGAAACCTCAGCAGCAGATCCTGTTTATTTATTCATAAGGACATCAACTCATGGTATAAATTATTGTGATGACCAAATCTGGCTCAGTCCGGACAATGATCTGATTGAGTCCTATGTTGGGCAGCTCCAGAAGCTTGGATTTGATCTCACCATGGAAGAAGGGAGACATCTTTGGTTTTCTTGGTATAATTTTGAAGGACAGGGAGACAAGTGGAATGACTCAAAAGGGGCTATCAACAAGGTTATGAATACACTGGATGTTGAAGCAGCTCTAAGCATCCCCTGCTGCCACCGATCCTCTGCGCTGACAAACTGGGTGCCCCTTTGAGAAGAGTGGAGCTACCAGCTGCAGTTGGATGCTCTTACATTGCTCCAACACTCGCCCAACATCACTTTAGTGTGCACAGGTGGCAGATTCATCCACAACCCCAGCACTCACAGCTCAACCATCAAACTATCTTCGTATTTATTGGCACAAGTGACAAAGGCATTTGTTTTAGCCCTAACTTGATCAGGACTTACTGTTGGGTTGCTGACTTCGCGGATTTGATGGATATGAGGATGATCAGGATCCTGTTCTCGGTAAAGTCTCGCACTGGTTTTGTCTTGACTTTGTTTGATGCCCTGTCATTTGGTCCAGCAACTCAGACTGATTATTCTGAGCTCCACTGCTGCAGAATATGTTGCCTTCAGCATGTCCATGAGGGAGTCTGCTTCCTATGCGAGCCCTGCTCAAGGAAATTGGTACAAACTGCATATGCCCGTAATTACTGACAGTCTCGTGCGCTCTACAGTGTTCGAAGACAACCAAGGTTGCCTGTCTCTTGTGAATGTTCCCAAGATGTCAGCCCGCAACAAGTATTTGGCATTGAAGTACCACTTCTTTAGGTCGAATATCGGGGAGTCGAAGGGCATCATGGCCAAGTACATTCCGACTCTGGAACAACGGGCCGACATCTTCACTAAGGGTCTGCCACCTCCACAGTTTGCAGTCATTCGGAAGCTCCTCATGGGATGGTAATCTACCTCAGCACGTTGCTGGGGACTCTCTCCTATCGTTTGTTGCTACAGCTTCATATCAGCTGTAAGGGAGTGCGACGGGATACAGCTTACAATTCAGCTTTACAGCTTTATAAATTGCGGGCCTATTCTAGAAAATAATCAATAACTGCTCACTTATTTGGAAATACAAACTTTACATCTCTTAGATCGTTAGATTAATCAATCCACAATGGCATTGTCGCAAAGAAGGATGGAGCATCAATAGCGTCAAAACTCGCAAGGGATTACTTCCGAATTCCCCCCAGCCATATGAATGGTGTAGTCATCGAGATACTGACCAAAGCGCTTGAAAAGATCAAGCAGAAGATCCAAGAATTGTCCAGGGTTAAACTCAGGTCTTTGTTATACAACCGGGCTAAGTCGCGTAAGATCAAGAAAGTCGGAGGTGGCAGGTTCGTGGACAGCCTGGATGATGTCCGGAAGCTGATGGAAGACAGGAAGAAGTCTCCGGTCTTCCGTAGTACCAGAAGAGCAGAGAAACACATACCCATTTGTTACTTGCTGTTCTCTCACTGCCGATGGCCCAAGAAATCCCATTGTCAACCCCTTCTTTCGTACGATCGAATCTTCCGCAACAACAACAGCCCCGTTAACCTTACCCCTAAGGCAACTGACTCACCCGAATCCCTTGAATCAAATCGATCTTCGAATCGAATTGATCCAAGACTCACCTCCGTGAATCGATCGATCTTCCCGCGACCCTACCTCTTCTCCGTACTAGTACCTCTTCCTCCGTACGGATCGAACGACAGCCTCTATCATCAAGAAGGACTTCACGAGATACCTGCAGTGACCACTGAGAAGAGAATTACACCTGTATTCTTACTTTCTCACCGGCCACTAGTGGTTTCTCCCGACGTCCTTGTTGGAACTGATACCTCCTGCTACTGTTCCCACTCCCCCATTGATATCTAACTCCTCTCCCAGAGGAACAACAAACAACAATAGAGTTCCTGTAAGGACTTGATGCAATACACGGCTCTTAGCCTTATTCGCGACTCGATCCTAGATAGGGTTTGAGTTCGACTCATGACTGAGTCTCTCGTGAATAGTCATTTGAGACAGGGTTCTCAATGACCGCTCTAGTCATACTAGGTTGATGATGAAACATCGCTCTAGATATTTAGCCAGCGTGGAGTACTTCCACGCTACTAGATCCATGCTAGACAAATCTTCCACGCGTTCCGTTTTAGGATCGTTGAGATACGTAGGATTACTACCGCAACCTACTCTATCACACTTTATATTCTCCCGCGGGAGACCAGATCTACGATCCTTTGATGGTGATCTCTCTCGTTGATTAGTTTTCATAGCTTTCTAATCTCTCTTATAACTTTCATTCTCTCAAACACAAAACACTCGAAAGATCTTTACACTAGCTGTTAGCGTAGTGCATTTTGTTAACAAACACAATAGCTTTCAGCTACCCTCAACCTATTCCTTCACCATGAAGATTGCTCAAGGAAAGCATGCGTTCAGCAACTTCGAGAAACAGTTGCGTGACAAACCCATTCTTCCTCTCGTCGACAATGACGAAGACACCGAGATCGACGATACTCATACAACCACCTGCAAACTTCGCAACCATGTTGCCAAGAGCAAATCAGAAGACTCTGATAACGAGGACAACTCCTCTATCGATTTGAATCACTTGGATGGAGAAATCTCTATCTGAGGATTAGGCCAGGGTGATGACTCAACGGAACCATGTTCCGATTTCTCATACCAAAGTGATGAAGATATCTCACTAACTAGTAAACAAGAATTGTTTGCAACCGATGAACTCTACGGCAAATTAGATGATTGCCTAGAAGCTGCTCAACTAGACTCTGATGATCTATTTAGCATCGTTAACCTCGTCCGTGGCCAACCACCTCGTAAACGTCGCAAGACAAGAGACCTCAAACCTATCGTCTATGTTAGATTTAACAAGCGAGAAAAAGGGAAACCAAAACCCGTTACACTCCGTTGCTTACTGGATACAGGAGCATCCGGAACTTTGATTGCTCAAACTCATGCTAAGAAATTACGCATGAAGGATCTTGGGGGCGTCCAAACCATGTGGACTACCCCTGCAGGAGAATTAAACACCAGCACGAAGTGCAAAGGTGCATTCATGATTCCTGAATTCCACGATGATAGAATTATCGAATGGGATTTACACGTCACCAAGAGCTTGGGGGCGTATGACATGATCATAGGTCGAGACATTCTCTCTGACTTAGGATTTAAGTTCGATTTCACTACCATGTCAGTGGAGTGGGACGGCATATCTATTCCTATGAAAGATAGCGACACCAATGAAGAAGAGAATTTCTTCATTCCTGATCCTACTGCCGTTGATGACAGTGCAGATCGTCTCAAGAAGATTCTTGATGCGAAATACGAACAAGCTGACTTAAGGCAGGTTTGCCAAGTCAAAATCAGTTGAATAAGGAAGAGCAGGAACAGCTTCATTCCTTATTAACGAAATACTCTGACCTATTCGATGGCACTCTAGGAAAGTGGCAGATGGACGACTACGAAGTAGAACTCCTCCCTGACACTAAACCCTATCACGCTAGGGCTTATCCTATTCCACGGGTCCATACCAACACTCTTAAGATGGAGGTTGAATGTCTCTGCAAAGCAAGAGTACTCAAGAAGGTGAACCGTTCCGAATGGGCGGCACCAACCTTTATCATTCCCAAAAAGGATGGATCTGTACGATTCATCTCTGATTTCCGGGAACTAAACAAAAGGATTAAGCGGAAGCCTTATCCTATCTCAAAAATACAGGACATGCTCTTGAACCTAGACGGATTCAAGTACGCCACTAGTCTAGACCTGAACATGGGATACTATCACATCGAGCTGTCACCTCACTCGAAACAACTCTGTACTATCGTACTCCCGTGGGGAAAGTACGAATACCAGAGGTTGCCAATGGGCCTATGTAATAGTCCCGACATCTTCCAAGAGAAGATGGGAACACCAATGCACGACCTACGATAAAATGTGGGTTGGATCCATGGGATCAACGTGGTGAGTGTGAGAACAAACTGTCTGCCTTATGTTACTGGTACCCCTATGGTATGTGAAACAAGCAAAGATATAGAGAATCTTGGTTGGTACTGGTGAGACACAGGCCATACATATGATGGGTATCTACTGCAAAGGACAAGGGAGCTTCAGGTCTAGGAGATGGTCAATATCAACATTACTTTCTTAGACTATGAGCAAAAAGCATGCATCAAATAATTGGGTGTTATGAGGATTTGAGCACTCTGAGCCACACTGAGCTCCTGGATCCTCCTGAGGTCACCTGATTGAGTAGATGCTCGCCTCATGGCCATCTGGGGTGATACAGTGGTCAAAACCTTCATATGGGACCATATGGGCTTCCCTGGTTCCATAT